CTCTCTCTTTTTTATAATTGATCGGAGTGGCGTCTTGAGTATCGGGGTAATATTTGATGATGTCATCTTCTTCCTCTGCTGAAGTGAATGACAATTTTTTTTTTACTCTAGTTGTTGGATATCTTATGATTTGGCTTCTTTCTCCACGTACCATTGATTATGGGGAGTCAGATGGTAATCAGGCATATGGTGCCTCCCTTGGGGCTTGCTCTAAAGCCTCTTTGATCATCAAAGTCATCTCGTGCAATCCATGTTGGCAAAGTCTTCTCTACAATTGGGTTCTGCTTTGGGCACAACCCCACTTCTAGACAGTGTTATATCAATGATGTTGGATCCCCATTTGTATGTGGGGATAAACCACTTAAGAAATAGATGTGTTAGAGGAGAAAGCTCCCAGGAGAGAATGGAGATGAGGAAGGAAAGAAAGAGAGAAGGAAGGATAAAGAGGAGTTAAGTTTTTTTTTATTTTTACTGATATCTCAAGGAAATTTTTTTTAGTCATTTTTGGCATTCCTTTTCTCTCGCATTGGCTATCTCTATTTATAATTGAGGTTTAGCTAGGGCGTGCTATATAGAAAATGAAAATTACGTTGTGCATGATATGGTATTGAATACATGATGATGTTACTAGGCATGCAACCCTTACATCTTGTTTGTATGTACAACACACCCACTTAAATGTCTTGTCTATCTATACAACATATTGGACTAAACTTCTTGTCAATTTGTATGATCTCTGAAGCATATATTATGTGGCTATAAGCGAAATGATAAGGTCTTTTCAGATTATGGGAGAACTCCTTGTTAGGTTTATTGAAGGCTTCTTGGCTAGATTTGCCAACTACCCCGTTTGGCCAAATTGATGTGTTGGTCCTTTTGGTCAAACGGGCTGGTGTGGCTCCTCTGACCGAATTGTCTGGTCAAACCAGCTGTTGATTTTTTTTCTTGAAGCGAACCCGAACTAGAAGGATTTATTTATACATTATGAACATGTTGAAGGAGACCAAGATGTTGTTAGATTGTAAGCCGTGTGAAATTTTAATTGAATTAGGACAAAAAAAAATTGAACCTTGATGAAGAAGAAATCGAAGTAGATATGAGACAATATGAAATGTTAGTAGAAAAACTAACTTGCTTGTCACACACTTGTCATGACATCACAGTCACAGTAAATTTATCTAGTCAATTCATGTACAAACTCAAATAATTGCACTTTTAAGCCGCATTGAATTCTCAAATTTCTTAAATCAAGCTTAAAAAAAAAATTTAATACTAGTCATGATAACTTATAAATTGATGAATATATAGATGTGGACTATGCTAGATAACAGGTGGATAGGTCTAATTCAGGGCATTATACATTCTTAGTCTATAATTTTATAATTTGGAGAAGCAAGAAACAACATGTGGTTTCAAGATCAAGTTTTGTAGTCTAATTCAGAGCCATTTTCCAAGGGATCTGTGAATTTGATAGACACTGCGTAAAAGAGAAACTAAAAGGTGACTTGATTTAGGGGAATCAATTGGTCGACATATTCATCAAATGACTTTACAACTCGAGATTTAAAAATATTATATGCGAACTTGGAATGATAGATATTTGCCATGCAGTCTGAGAGAAAATGTTGAATTTTTGCTATATCATTGCATGCTATAATAATGTTAGTTGTGGTTGTTGTGGCCTGATCTGAAAGCTTGAAATACCAAAGTGGGAATTGATAGGCAGATGAAAATTTTATAAATTAAACATTTCTCAAAATTTGTCAACATGGAAAATCTCCCAAATATATAAGAGCGTACTAAATCCAACATTATTTGAAACTAAAAATGCATCTAATTTAAAAATTTTTAGATTTACAAAAATGTGAAAAAAAACTTATTACTTTATCCATTATCCGAAACTTCCCGATGTCTGTAAAAAAATCTCTTCTAACATCCATTAAATTCTTAAAGGAGGTTTCCTTGAAAATGTTTAGCAACTATTTTGTGAGTTAAATGAAACTAATCGACTAATTGTGTTTTTAAATCATAGTAATTTCAAAAAAATTTATGACATAATATGCATAATATACTTGAGGAATACAATATGCATATCTATTTGCTATGAAAGTAAAGCATTATAAAACGTAGATTAGTTTCTCTGTTTCAATTTTTTGGATAATTCATCTTTTTTTTTTCATTAATTAGTACGCTCGTCGGGTGAGTCATCGTCTTTATGTGTACCCAAATGGGCACACCTTTTTTGAAACAATTTTCAAACTAGCCTTCAAGCGCTGCTAACCATTTTCATTTCTTTTCAAATGCACGAATACAGTGCTTCCCCGACTAGTATCTTACAAGAGCTACTCAAATATACCATGCAATTATTTGTACATCTATGCATATCTTATATTTTTTTTCTTTTGATAAGCATTTGCATTAAACAAGGTATTATATTTTTTTCTTTTGATAAGCATTTGCATTACACCAGTGATTCATTCATCAGAAATATAAACATTTTTAAATAAAATAAGAAATGTATTTGATTTAGAAAGTAAGAAACAATTACTATAAGAAATAAAAATATATCATTTGAATCAGGATAGTCGAAAACCCCTTGTTCTTGTTAACCATTGCTTTAAGTAGCACCGACAATAAAACCTTATACTAGATTAGCATGTTTGATTTTGTCATTTTTACAGCCGTTCTTTTATTATTTATTAGTTAATTAATACATACCAGCACACACACACATATTGATAGATAGCTTTTACAAATTAATATTATAATTTTTATAATTATTTATGTATTTGAAATTTACTAACAAATTCAAATAAGCCTTATGATTTAGGTATATAAAATTTATATTCATCTTCTTTATTTAAATGAAATTCAAGTGCTTGGAATTTCACATATTTCTTTCTTTTCAAATTGCAAATTACTGTACCCAAGTCTTTTTAAATGAAATTATAATGCTTTTATTTGTTACCTTTGTAAAAATTTCTAATAAATTTCAAATTTCCATAACGTTAAAATTTATTAAATAATTTTAGGGTTATAATCATAATTTAACATAGGGGTGTTTAGAACAAGCGTCCCGTTGAAAATTCGTACAAAATTCATCTTGAATCACCTTGATTTAAAAAAGTCGCACCTGGCGCATCATGCACCAATCTGGTGCATTATGCGCCAGCACCTTGGATTTTGGGGCATCATGCGCCAAACTCCAAAATTGGCTGCTTTTGCTCCAAATTTTGCTCCTTTTATCATTTTTGCTCCAAATGTCTAAAAATGGTATACCTGCAACAAAAACACAAAAATACATTTCTTTGAAGTGTAATATTATAAAAAATAGGCATAAAAAGGTACTTAAAACAATATATTATTTTTTTGTATCACCCCCCCCCAAACTTAAATTTTTAATCAAATAAAACATTTTATCATCCTATATATATATATATATATAAGAAAGTATGAGAAATTTAAACGCAGGGTTTCCTACAACTTCTCCTAGTTAGCTTGCATGCTTAAATTTATCCTCTCTCCAAATAATTATTTTATCGATGAATTCATTCATCTAATAATAATACTATGCAGTTTAATTTGTATTTTTAATAGTATTAAACCTAGGGTTTTGAAAAATAAAAAATTTATCTCAACAAACAAAAATTCAAAGTTGCCTTAAATTCATACCTTAAAGCACTTTCTTCTTCCTCTTGCTCCTCTCTAATGCGCAACTCTCTACAAGTTTGGTTAGAAATCAAAAGGGTTTACCTATTCCATAGACTTTTTAATAAAAGTATAATTTAAAATTATCTGATTTAGTCGCATACCATACATGCTTTCTTCTTTCTCTCTCTCCTCCCTATCCTATGAATCCTACTTGTTTGGCAAGAAAAAGACTATATAGGGAAATCACTTCTCTAGCATAAGGAAGATGAAAATGAGAAAATCCCCAATTTTTTTTGGTTTAAAATTCATATCTAAGGGACTGATTTTGTTTCCTCTTGCGGTCAAGTATATTTCCCCTCTCGATGGGCTACAAACTCTTACGAAGAAGGCCTCACTCAAGCTGCTTGCCTACAAGGCCTGCTTTAGCATTTTTTTTCTCTTTTGGTCTTGTTCTCTGGCTCCCATCGCCCTCTCTTTGTATCTCATTTGCTTCAAATGTTAACTAGTATTTTATGACAATCAACTTTTTTATAAAAATTTCATCCTCGAAATTGGAATAAGCTTTTGCCTGGTATATGTTAAATTTAGTTGATAGTAGTCCCAAAGATCCTTAGGGCAATGTTGACTGTGCATAAAATAGAGTAAGACACTTTAAAATTTGCCGCTATTTTTGACCATCCAATTGTATACACAATTGCAAGAAGTTGGCTTTGGGCAATTTTGTGACTACTCGGGAACTTATATATTTAAAACGGTAAAATTTTTTAAAAAAAACTCTTTATTTTACTCTCTAATTTTACAATTAAATTTGAGAAAATAGCAAAAAATCATTTTATTTTTACTTTTGATGATAGTTTGATAATTTTTCAAGGATAATATCAAATATGTGATAGTAGAATGTACCGAGTGAAATATCTATTATACTAAATTGGATGTAATATAATTATTAAGCTGCTAAAACTATCTTTTGACGCAGTATTTGCGAGTCACGACTTTTTAATAGCAACAACATGTTAGCTAAACAATATCACCGACCATATTATTCTTTGACATATCTCAAATACTTATTGTGAGCTGTTTCTACCTTCAGATATGTGATATTTTTCATGTCAAATTATGGGCCATCATTTTATTTTAAGCCATGATGTTATTTTTTGACATTTTCTAAATTTTAGAGGCCAGACTATAAAATAGAATAAGGTTGAATGATTTTTAAAGGTCTTTATTCATTTATTAATTTTTGCTCTGGTTAACTGATGTCAGTGTTGGATCTCCTTTTTTTTTTTTTTTTTTTTTTTTTTTTTTTATTGGTTTGAGCTTTGCAATGAACTAATGACTGACTTTAGCAGGCTGCTGAAGAGGCACTAAAATATTTGAAAGCGCGCAGCGAAGTGCAAAGGCATAAACAACAAAATCCTTGCGGGTCGTGATACGGTAGGCTCCCTACTTTTCATCGCTTATACGAACTGTACAAGTCACTTCATAAACCATTTGCTAATAATTTCATCCAGAAATGTTTTTTAGTGCGGTTGATTTTTTTATTTTTTTTATTTTGGGTGCCCGGATAACTGGTTGTTTGAAGCCATAACGTTACTATTTGTGGTTGGTTAAAAAGATGAAGGCGCACACAATATAATTAAATGCCATGCATGATTTGAAAAAGTTGTTTAGAAATGGCGATGACAATAATAGGCTCTAATATTGATTAATGTTGTCAGAGAAGGGAATAATCGTTTGGGCAACAATAAGCATAATTTATGAGAACTTAATTATGGGAATCCTACTTTCACATTAACATGTATGGAGCTATAGTGCTTTTCCTTATAATATATATCTATATATATATATATATAGACACACACATGCACGCAAAGTTCTTTTGCAGTTGAAATTTAAGAAAAAAAAGATCAAAATATGATTAAGATGTTAAATCAATGTCGCAAATGTTACTATGAATGTTGTTTTGCTTGGCTGCTAATTACGTGATATCATTTCCCCCAACGTTTCGAGAACTTGCTAAAATTTGGTCCTTCCTGTAGGAGGAATCGCCCAAAGGTGGAGCCATATTCGATGATTTCACAAGGTGAAAGTTAATGTGTTATTGCCATTTATGCAAGATGGTGAGGTTTTAATCTATTCATAGGTGATGCTTTTAAATACTGTACCTGAATTGCATTTGTATCTTACATCTGCATCCAAAATCGATCTTTAACTATTTTATTGAGCTTGATAGTTTTTGAAGTTTGTTTATTAAAATAGTATTCAATTTTATACAGCAGTTCAGTACTTTTAGATTAAATTATATATAATTTATTTATTATTTCTTCTTTATTTAAAAAGATAAAAGAAAAATAATTCTAAACTAATTTTAAATTTCGGAAAAACGATCGGTTAGAAATTGCCTCCATTAACCTGCACTAAAGCAGCTAGAAAGAAAAATAAATATCATTGATTTTTTTAATGAAATTATAGAAGAATTAAAAATTAATCCTTGCAATAAATGAAAGCTTTTTTAAACAAATGCGGTTTTGTTGCTGGAGAGCATCCAAGGCATTGGATAAACGCTTTTATTTGATGCTGAATATAGCAGAGCTAAATTATTAGATTAATGTATTAAATAGGGGCATAGAAGGGTTAGAATCTATGAAAATTGATAACTTTCTCATATAATATATATTGATAGAATTCAATGGAATTCGTTATCGGATCTGGCCAATAACAGACAACATTCATGATGAATTAATCTAGCTATAATGAGTACATGTAGAGTGGTAGGCGTGCATCAATGATCACAAATGAAGTGCATGATAGAGACTTGTTAGCTAACTAATAAATGCGGGAGGGAGGAAGGCTAAGTAGCCATGAATGGGCTATAAGAGGAGGGTCACGGTTGGGGGAGGAGTAATTAACAACCTTCACCGGGCCTGAAATCTGTTTCACGAAATATGCTTTGCCATTCAGTATTCCCACTACCCATTGGGTCCATCTACCACCTGCCACTGGAATAAACCCGGCAATGAGTTTCGCCCAATAATTTATCGCTATGGCGAAATTAATATATTTTGATCTTTGAGTTCAGGCTGGCAGGTATAAATTTAATACAGCTTTAATTCCCTATGTCTCTCACTTTCTCCCAACTGTGTTGGTGGGCCCGTTGATTAGATAGCCCCCTTCCTTTCCGATCATGTAAATCTGGGTTCTAAACTTATCGGTCAGCAAGGCGCTCATGGTGTACAGCCAATGTATTCTACACAATTTTAATTGATAAGAAAATACATAGTAGTGTCAAATTAATCAAACTAATTTTTCACTTGTTACTCTTCTTAGTTACATGCTGGGCTTCACAATTGTGGTGCCCACTGCCAATGGTATTTCTGGGCCACTTGCTTTCTTGTCTACCTGCAATTTTAACTATATTAATGCTACATTGTGCTAATTATCCTAGCCCTTGTAATTATCCGCTGAATGCAAAGGAAAGTAGTTTGAAGGCTTTTGAGTTGTTCACGTAATCTCTTTTAACTTGGCCTAGCTCTCAGCATCAATCACACCATGGCTTATGATAGGTGCTTACATCAGTTGTCTATTGATTGAATGGTGGATGCATTCCTAACATTCTTTTCTTGAATCTTATTGTAGTGTCACAAAAATTAAAGTGAAGCGTTATTAGAACCCAGATTGATGTGCCGATATCAAGTACAAAAAAAGAAATAATATACCATATATGTCTCTAAGATTTGAATAATTCAACTTCAAGTAAGTGCACATCTTCATAAGAGACAATTGCAATTGATACATTAAAATAAAAGTTATAATTTTGTTATTATTGTATGCTAAAAAGTTCATAGCAGTAGAGAGAATTTAATGTCGTTACTTTGTATCAAGATAAATTACACAGAGAAAAATGAAGGTAGCAAGAAACAAAATTTTCAAAGTTGAATACCTGAAATAAAAAATGCTTTAACTAATCTTCTGAAGACGTTCATTAAACTTGCCGACTCAAATTAAGTACTATTAAGTCATCTAGTACCTATGTATCTAATCGAAAGAATAATACATTAATTAATAAAAAATTTAAATTTCAATTCTTGCATAAAAATGTAATAAACCTAAGTGGGCTTAGTATCTTAAAAATTAGGATAATTTATATCACGTCTAAATAATAGACTACTAATCTTAAAAATCTCCTTGTTGTGTAAGTCTTGATGACAGGGAGACATAACAATGGAGGTTGCTATCAAGATGAGTCTTTTTATGCACCATGATGTGATCCATTCCTAAAAGCCTCTATCAATGATAATCAATGAGTGAAATATGAGTTAATTCAAAAAATTCGAGTATAATATACTCAGATGATAGTTGTCATTACTAATTTGGCAATTAAGAGAGCCACATAATATGTTGTTTAATCAACTTTAATTATTCCCTTTGATTGAGATGACATGAAATCATAATAGGTCAGCACCTCAAGTGCTTATTCAGACAATTCTTCTATAATCAGCTTATGTATATGCTTATTGTTTTGGTCGTACAATGTACTCCCACTATTATGAAAACTCAAATTTCTATCATAGCTTTTGTTAAAGCTCTAACTATTTCTTCCATAGTGCCCTATATTAAACTTTTATTAGAACCGTAAATTCAATTGATGTTAGAAATATAAGTTGAGTTGCATAAGAAGAATAATCTATAAAGAAAAAAGGACATTTAAAGGACATAAAGGTGATGATATTAGGATGTTCTAGTACTGTTGAGAAATTAGGGCAAAGAAAAAAAACAAGAATTGACACAAATATCCAGAAGAACACACAGAAATCCAGAAGAACACACAGAAGTTTAACGAGGTTCGACAAAGATGCCTACGTCCTCGGGAGCAGATCCGCGGCTTTCCTTCAACTCCAGAAAAAGAGTACATAATACAATAGTTATAGGGTTACAAATAACACATATATATAACATTGGCGTACAATATGTAATTACAAAATTACCAATGTACCTTACAGCGAGGCGTTGCCCCCGTACCCCCAACCCACATAACGAAACTCCCCCGATTGTATAGATTCTTCCGCTCTGCTCTGCTCTGTTCCGTTCTAGCATGTCCCTTATATGGTATATGAGCCATACCTAACAAGTACAAAATAATGTGAGAAAAAAAATAATTTCATCATTATCATGTGCTATGTTTTATCAACCATTTGAATGAAAAGAAGTACTCGACTAGCCTTATTGATACTCCAAAATGTTTCTAGCTATATTTTTAATGCTTGATCTAGATTTATTTATAATTAGATCAAATTGCTACTGATGTCGATCCAAATTAATTCAAAATGGAGTACAATTGATCTTAGAACCAATTTCAAAAACTTTTGCTCACATACTTGGCGCATTGAGATACAAAAATAATAATTGAATATCCAATAAGTTAGATGAATTTTTTCGGCAATTGTTGATTGCCCCTGTTGATAGCGTGTAAACAAATATGGTTTAGCTCGAGTCACGCCCAACTTGAGCTTGAGCTTTATTAATTAATCGAGTCCAAACTCGAGCTCAAGCTAAATTCTACTAATAGTACGACTCGCACACAAATTAACTTGTTTATTATGAACTAGAGAAAACAATATTACATCAAACTAGTACAATAAAATGATAAATAAAAGGAATAGTTATGAGATAAATAAAAAATCATTTGATATAAAATATAAATATCATCATTTAAATATTTTTAATAATTTTAAAACAAAATTTAAATTCTAATATATTTTAATTTTATTTTATATTAATTATTATTTAGAAGAACTGGCTCATGAGTAACAAGTCTGAGTCACGGCTGCTTCAGCTCAAGAGCTACCGAGCGAACATGACATCAGTTTTCTAATGGATTAAAACGTTGGAAATCTAAAGTTTTCTAGAATACCGATGGAAGTTTTACTGGTGATTAGTATTGAGATGGATCACGAGTAAACTTTTCAATGGGTACGTAAGATGATAAAAAATTGTTGTGAAAAACGACGACAATAAAGCGAAAAACCGGATCGAGAAAAATCATAAAACAAAAACATAATGGAAACACACAAATTTACGTGGTTCGGCAAATAGCATACGTCCACAGTGTTACAGAGAATTTTATTAGCTTGAGGGATTACACTCGTCGATCACCTCGACGATTACAAGAAAGAACAATCTCTCTCTCTCTCCCTCTCTCCGCTCTCCTCTCATTCTCTCTCTACCCGAGAGCTTCAAACCGAAGAGTAAAACAATAGGAGCCTTAGCCTTTGATTATGTTATGATACTAGTTGTTATGAAAAATGACGACAATAAAGCGAAAAATCAGATCGAAAAAAATCGTAAAACACAAATCTAGAAGAACACATAGAGATTTAATGAGGTTCGACAAAGATGCCTATATAATTGAGAGCAGAGCGGCGACTTCTATTTTAATATTGAGAAAAGAATACAGAATACAAGATTCAGCTCACCTAGGGTTACATATATGAAATATATATAACTTTATAGTATAATATGTAATTACTTAAATTACATCTATACCAAACTATAGAGTGTTGCCCCTGTACCCCCAACCCACATAATGAAACTCCCCCGATTGAACAGATCCTTCCGCTCCACTCTGCTCGTGGGCTCGGTTTCGCTCCAACATCTGTCCCATTTATAGTATATGAGATATACCTAACGAATTTCCACCTTGGCGAATATCTAGCCTCTTAGGATCCCCACATTGGCGAGTATCAAGCCCCTTAGGAGAAATACATATGCCTAAAAAATCTCCACCTTGGCGAATATTCAGCCCCTTAGGAGAAAATACGTTATGGAGTTTCTTATGCATCAATGTGGGTTGGGCCACCACGCTTCCGCTGCACCCTCGTTGATCCCACAACCCATTAAATTCCAAGAGATAACTCTTCAATTCCAAGAGACATTTCTTCATTCCAGGAGACTCCAAATTTCAGTATTATGAGTCACACCGAACAAATCTCCACATTGGTGAATATCCAGCCCCTTTAGGAGAAATGCACATACCCAACAAATCTCCACCTTGACGAATATCCAGCCCCTTAGGAGAAATATATTATAAAGTTGGGGGGATTAGCGAGGGCGCAGCGGAAGCTTGTATTTTGTATTCTTTTCTGAATATTGGAAAGGAAGTTATCGCTCTGCTTCTGAGGATGCAGACATTTTTGCCGAACCTCGTTAAATCTCTGTGTGCTCTTCTGAATTTGGGTCGATTTCTTGTTTTTCCTCGTCCTAATTTCTCAACAATAATGATCGGCTCTAACATTATTACATAAGGGCGTCAGCAGAGCATGAGAATACTTTCGTTCGAAATACACAAATATTCACCAATTTGGACTTTGTAGTTGTGTTTTCAGTCGGATTTATCTATGAAAAATAATAGTACAAACGTGAAAAACTTTTGGAAGAGGAACGTGCGATGAAGATGAACTTTGAATTCATTAAAAGCATGTGAAGTTAGCTGGGTGGCAGGCAATTAAGTATCAACTGTATCAATGCTGATGACACCGTTTGCCTCCCTCCCATCCACCACGCATTTAAAGCATCCATCCCCTCAACTGATCGCATTCATATATTACTACCCACCAAGCTCCAGTAGCGCCTTGCAGTCGCAGCCTTGATCGATTGATAGATCGATCGGTTAAGATGGGTGCGCATCACGATGAAGTTTCATCATTTCTTCCCAGGTCCGCATCCGCATTGTTCCCTCCCATTGAGAAATGCAGCTCCGAAGGGAGAACTAACCAAACGGTGGCCGCCGATCTAGACGGCACGTTGCTCATCTCTCGCAGTGCATTTCCATACTACATGCTCGTGGCAATTGAGGCCGGCAGCCTCCTGCGAGGAATTCTCCTTTTAGCCTCCGTCCCACTCGTCTACATCACTTATATTTTCCTCTCCGAATCCGCAGCCATTCACGCCCTCATATTCATTTCCTTCGCCGGCCTCAAGATTCGGGACATCGAGACGGTTGCCCGATCCGTGCTCCCAAAGTTCTACGCCGAGGATGTACACCCCGAAGGGTGGAGGGTGTTCAGCTCTTTTGGGAGGAGGTATATTGTTACTGCCAATCCTCGAATTATGGTGGAGGCCTTTGCAAAAACATTTCTTGGGGCCGATAAAGTGATCGGCACCGAGCTGGAGGTGACCAAGTCAGGTAGGGCCACTGGATTTCTCAAGAAACCGGGGATTCTCGTTGGCCATTTAAAGAGGACGGCTTTAGAACGCGAGATCGGTGCCGATTCTTCCCCGGATGTGGGGATTGGAGATAGACCCACCGATTACGACTTCATTTCCTTTTGCAAGGAGGGATACATGGTGGCGTCAAATAAAAATGACCGGCCGGTGCCGCGTAACAAACTTCTGAGCCCAATCATCCTCCACGACGGCAGGCTCGCCCAGCGCCCCACCCCGGTTGTCGCGCTTCTAACCTTTCTATGGATGCCGGTTGGCTTCGCCCTCTCACTCATCCGCGTCTACGTCAACGTCCCTCTTCCGGAGCGCATCGTTTACCACAACTACCGGCTCATGGGCATCAAACTGATAGTGAAGGGCAACCCACCGGCCACCGATCCCAAAAGAGGACACAAGGGCGTTCTGTTCGTTTGCAACCACCGCACGGTCTTGGACCCAATCGTCACTGCCGTCGCCCTCCGCCGCAAAGTCAGCTGCGTCACATACAGCATCAGCCGTTTCTCGGAACTCATCTCCCCGATCAAAGCGGTGGCTCTCACGCGGGAGCGGGGCAGGGATGCGGAGTACATCAAACAACTGCTGGAAGAGGGGGACCTGGTGATCTGTCCCGAGGGGACCACGTGCCGCGAACCTTTTCTGCTGCGTTTCAGCGCTCTATTCGCGGAGCTCACCGACCGGATCGTTCCCGTAGCCATCAACACAAAGCAGGGCATGTTCCACGGCACCTCGGTCAGGGGATGGAAGCTGTTGGACCCTTACTTTTTCTTCATGAACCCGCGCCCAACCTACGAGATTACTTTCCTCAACCAGCTGCCGAGAGAGCTCACTGTCGCGGGGGGGAAGTCCCCCATTGAAGTCGCCAATTACATCCAGCGCGTTCTAGCCGCCACGCTCGGCTTCGAGTGCACCTCCTTCACACGCAAGGACAAGTACACCATGCTTGCCGGCAATGATGGCCGCGTCACCTCCTCCAACAAGCCTGACAAGCTTGCCGTCGCTGCCTAGCACCTAAATTTAATCTCGATAAACCCCGATCAAATTGTATTCGTGGCCTCTCCTGCTACAACCTAATCATGCTTGCATTAATTATTTGTCTTCTATATCATTCTGTATCTGAGATCATAGGTAAAATTTGTGAATCAAGTGTAGTGGCTTATGTTCCAAGGATAAATTGAGATGCGCTAATTTTATCCCCCAATTAATCTGTCATCATCAAACAATTAATAAAATTCCAACTTGTTTTATACCTAAATTTCACTCAGAATTGTCTAACTGATTTTGTTCTTCTCCTCCTTCTTATAGTGATATTATTATAAACAATGCTCTGCCTATTTGTGACATAAAATCAGAGAAATTTGTTCAGAAGAAATTCCATCACAAAATCATACGTGTATCTTACGAAGTTGCAACTTGGAAAGCATTGTACAACTTTATTATTTATTATTAATACTGCAGAAAAATAAAAGACTTATATCCTATTTTGTACAAAGATTCAGCGTGCACATATAAAAAAAAAATCATTAGAGAGATTAGAATTTTTATGCGATGAATTTGAAAAGGAAAAAAAATTTGGGGTATATACCCATAGAAATAATCTTATGTATATGATGTTATGAAAAATGTTCTACCCTACAGTTAAAGAAAGATTAAATACATCAGTTTACATGACATTGGCCAAACATAATAATCAAGTGATAATCATTCAATGGCACACTTGGGCTACAATAAACATGCAAAGACAATCAAATTATATTTGTGGCTTTAATGAGAATAATTGGTTGTTGATGGGCAGACAATGATGGAAATGCAATAAAAATTAGACAATGATAATCAAACGATGATTGTTGTCAGTAGTAGTCATTAGTTTTGATTGATTTTTAATATATTTAAAAAATTATCAGACCATAAAGTTAGCAAAATCAATTACACACTGTAAATGACACTTATTTTCACTAACTGTAAAAAATTTGAAATTTATTTGATTAATTATTAATTTTTACCACTATAGTTGATGTTCTAAATAAAATGACATTTTTGGCACTAAAATAATTTTAATAAATTAAATATAATTAGGAAAATTATGAAAAGTGATTTTCTGAGTTACTTGTGATCAGGGGCACTTAGGAAAAATAAAAATTATTTTTAAATAAATATTTTATTTTTAAGCCTATTTTTGAATTAAAAAATTATTAAAAATAATTAAAAATTTCAAAATACAAACATGTTTCAAATTGTTTCTAATTACTTCGAAGGGCACTTAGAAAAAATAAAAATTATTTTTAAATAAATATTTTATTTTTAAGCCTATTTTTGAATTAAAAAATTATTAAAAATAATTAAAAATTTCAAAATACAAACATGTTTCAAATTGTTTCTAATTACTTCGTGATCACTTGGGACTCATTAGAATATTTTTTTTCTAATTTTTCTAAGTTAAATATACATTTTTAAAGGCTAAAAATGTATTTTCTCTAATTTTTTATTAAAAATAATTATAATAAATAAATTAAAAATCAAAAAAATAAAAATTTTATTTTTGCTGAGTTTTTTGGATTTAGGGAAATTTAATAAAAATATTAAAAATATTTTTTGTAATTAAAACATATTTTCTATTTAATTAAATCATTAAAATCAATAAATAATTATAATAATTAAAATATATTTTGAAAAATGATAAAATTTTGTCTAAGTGGTCCTCTAACTTAGGTGAATCTCTAATAATTTTCCCATGAGCAATAATTTTACTTTGATTAGTTAAATAAATTTATATTGAAAATCATATTTCTAAGTTAAAATAATTATTTAAATTAAATTAAATTTTTAAAAACCATATTTTCTCCTCTAATATTTTAATTGAGCCATGAGTGGGGTACTCTAAAAATCTCAAGGTCATTTGAATTATATTTAATAAATTGTCAAGTGGAGAGCCCTAGGGGCAAAATAGTAATTTCAAATTATGGTGCCTTAATCAAAATTTAAGATTAATTACGGGGTAAATGAGTAATTTTGATCATAATGAGTTCTTTTTGATGTTTGAAACATAATGGGTTGAGAGAGTAGAAACCAATTTGCCACATTTTCATGGAAAAGATAAAATTGTAATTTCATAAATTATCATGATTTGAAAGTCAATTAAAACTGGATGATTCTAAAGTGATGGGCTTAAGTTAGGAAGATAATAATTCACTTATTTTAAGCCCATACTCGGTGATAATATGATCTTTTGATAAGAATATATCTCACTTAAATAAAAATTTTAATAATTACAAATTCACCCATGAAAATTATTAAGGGGTTAGTAGTGACCTAGGTTTGATATTTAAATTTGTTTAATGAGGTTTATAAAAGATAAGATAACTGATAATTAACACCTTTAAAAACTACAGGCCCAACTTTAGTAGTGGGTATAAAATCTTTAATGACTTAAACATGTCTTAGGGGAATCTACTTACATAAATTTTAAGTAAAATAACAACTGATTAATTGAGTAGCCCACTCTCGGGATAATTGAAATATCAGGTTCACTGAGCATAGGGTGTACTAACTCATTGCAACTAAATTTAAAAGTTGGGATGATAAATTGAACAATATAATAAGCTCAAATAAACTTGAAACACTTCAAAAAGGGATTTAAAGTTGTTATTGATTATTCCCCATACGCTTTTATGACCTTTTGGATGAAGATAATTGAGCTTATTATTCTTTATTTCAAAAGATCATCCATTAAAACCTTTAAAGATTCACCAAGTTATGACTTAGGGTTTGGTAGCTACACCTTCATCTACCCTTGCAATTTGTTTAAATCTCCTGCAAAATTGTATACATGCTGCAAATTCTAACGTTTTAGCGAGAACAACAAGAAGATGACAGGTACGCTTTTATAGTTTTATTTAATTTCTGTCATTTACCGCAGTTTACTTTAGCTTTAAAATATTATTCTTGACCTCACTTTTGGTTGAGGTCTAGAAAAC